CAGTGTGTGGTGGGGGGGGTGTACAGATGTGATGGGGAGGTGCATTGGTGCGGAGGGGGGGTGTACAGATGTGGGGGGAGGTGCATTGGTGCGGAGGGGGGTGTACAGATGTGATGGGGAGGTGCATTGGCGCGGAGGGGGGTGTACAGATGTGGGGGGAGGTACATTGGTGTGGAGGGGGATGTATAGATATGTGGGGGGGTCTTATGGGGTCTGAGCTTTTCTCAGCGTTCTCCTTGCAGGAGTGACTTTGCATCTGCTAGTTCCAAGCTCTCTAAACGTGCTTGATGCGTTTCTGCAGCCAAAACTGGTTTATCACATGCTGTGGCTGAGCCACCTGGATAGCTGCCAGACCAGGTTAAACCTGTCTTAAGAAACATGTACGAGGCTCTTTAATGAGGGCAGCTTTTCGTTGGGAATCAGTTTGGCTGCAACAGTTATGTAGGTGGTCCCCCACTCTCCTCCCCTGGAATCCATTTCATTCCCTTTTCCCCATCTTTGTTCCCAGTTACACCCTTTAAGAACATAGGAGTTGCCACACTAGCTCAGATCCATTTAATCCAGCATCCTTTCTCTTATAATGAAGGCTATGATTTTAGCACAGGTATTTTTATTAAAAGTCACAGACAAGATGTCGACAATAAACCATAGATTTATTGAAGCCGAAGCCAGAGCCCTGCTGCCCGTGGCTGAATTACTGGAATTTTCAAGAAATCACAGAGGTCTCATAAAATCACAGAATCCATGACAGATTTGTAGCCTTATTAACAATGTCTGTTGCCAAGTGCTTTGGAGGAAGGAATTGTCTCTATAGTAGACAATTATGCAATAGCATGACGTTAGGGGAGGTTCCTTACTAGCTCCCATCATTAAAACACACAATCAGACCACTTTTTACAGTGCCCAGGTTTATGCTCATTTTATTTCCCTTCCTCAATGCTCAATCCTCCGAGTCCCCCAAGACCCTTCTCCCCAACTCCTCTTGTCCTCCTAGACCCGGGGTCTGCAGCTCCCATGCAGCCAGCTCTGCTCCTCAAATACTGCTCTGAAAGATCATTGCCTAAAATGTTAAAATGAAACTTCATCAAGAATACACAGGGGAAAGTCATGTGGTGCTGATGTGATGCTACATCATTCGGTAACACTCCTCTCCTTGGAATTAACCACTGTTTGCATGGCCAGGTCATACATTAACAGCAATGATGAGATTAAAGCTCCCCTGATTTTTCAGATATGAAGGCCTATCTATTATTTTTCTGAAGGACTACATTAATAATTACATCATTGGATCGGTACATCCTCTGCAGAAAAGATACCATCAAGAGGCTAGTATGCCCTATGTGACTCTGAGTGAGACAGAGGGATCCTTTCATTTCTTTTTAGCTCACTGAGTGTAATCTTTGGTTATACCAGCATAGTCTGTATTTCATTTTTTTTGTCTAGGTTTCAAACAGTTTTGTAAGCACTTCAGTTATGGGGTTCCCATCTCCAGCATGTCTTACAGAACCACGAGGATCTCTTTCCCACTCCCCATTCCCACTCTTCATACCCTGTATCATAGCTACCATCTCTCCCCTGTCCCAAAGACCCAAGTAGCAGTACCTTCAGAATCTGCCCCATTCTTGCTGGCAGGGCTGCTGATGAGGAGTATGTAGTACGCACAGCCCCTGCCAAGCCGGGGAGCAAGAAAAAACAAAGTAACTTTTATTTTCTTTCCTATCAATTTAGTTTTGGTGAAAAGGTACCAGATTGACAGCCCAGGAACCTCATGTCTTCAGATTCTCCACAGCACAGGTGCAACTTGGGTAGCAGCAGTGCAAGCTTTTCCACATCTGGTCAGTGTGCTTGAACCCTAACTTAGAGAGATCTGGGGAGGAGTGGATAGGTGTCTCCATGGCCCATTCCATTCATACTGCTGAGACTGCCAACAAAGGTTGGACATGTTTTTTCCCCATGTGTTGGAGACATCTGTCATGAAGAACTGGACTGACACCCATTTTCACAAAGGTCAACAAACAATCATCCCATGGTGGATTTGAACTGCTCATCTACTGATTTCCAGTAGCCACCACACTATACTATGGCTATTACTGCTTGTTGGGGGTAATTTAATTACATTGATGGGAGAGCTCTCTCCCATCAGCATAGAGCGGCTACACGGGAGCTCTTACAGCGGTGCAGCTGCAGCGGTAGTTATGCTATAAGATCTCTATTGTAGACATGGTCTAGGTGTATGATTAGGATGCTACCAAAAATTTTATGACATTTAGTGGCTATCTATAGAATAAAGACAATACCAAATTACGCTGCTAGCATGATGATAAATTGGGTCTTGAGGAAGGATTTGATCCAGGCAAAGATAGTGGCCTTGCATGTGAGCTATGGGTGGACATTTCATGCATGGGTGGGAGGCAGCATGGAAGAAGATGAGGAGGTATTTATTGGAGAATTATACAATTAGTATATGGGAAAGTGGAGGGTAATACAAAAAGACCCAAGAAAAGAAGTATGGAGGGACAGAATTATGCAGCACCTTGAATGCAAAAACTGGAAATTAGGGCCTGGAAGCTTAAGATAAGTAACTTACAGGTGTAAGCTGAATCATATTTGACTACAGCAGCTGCTGCTGCAACCATCATGAATGCACAAATCATGTTCCGTATTTAAAAAAGAAGAAAAATTTATTAATTTTGTTTTTACACCTGCCAGGTAGCACAATACTATTAACACTATAACAGTCACTGAATGTACAATAAACATACACATTTAAATAACAGAACAGGGTCAGAATGATGCAACTAGTCAGTCAGCTTCAGTGTCTCACGAAACATCCAGATTTAGTCCCAGGTGTTTTAACAGTTCTTGGAAAGAAGCAAGTAAGACGCTTTTGGAGAGCAGAGAATCAGGGCCAACTTCTGCGCTCAGATGCATGAGCAGAGGTACCCAATGGAAGCCAAAGGGAGCACCCAGCATGTAATTCTTAGGGCAGCCTTTAGCTCTCAGTGACAATGAAGGGTACTCCAAAATTAAGCTCTGATGGGACATTATTTAGGAGACAGAGATCTTCGGGCTGGCTCCAGCAAAAGAAAAGAAATTCATATGTTTTCTGCACTGCAGGTCTGCGCACAGCCATAGAAACAGATTTTCATTTTTAAGAGGGGTCCTGCACTACAGACCCAACTGTAGGACTATTTTTCACTACCAAATTTCTGTTCTCTCCCCAGATCTGTGTAATCATTATAATTCACTACTTTGGAATGAATATGCATGATGCTTAATTCCCAGGGAAGATTAGGTCTCTCTTTGTATATATTGTATTCTCATCCATCCATTAATTTGAGACACAAAGTGAACCACCGCTTTTGTTTCTGGCTGGTGGTTTTGTACGTGGTGCCTCTGTGAGACACAGGACAAAAATCCTCGATAAACAAGATACAAACTCAAAAAGGCCATTTTCAAACTGCATTCCATAACAATGGGCTAGTTTTTAACTTGAAATAACTGGTACAAGAACAAGTGTCCCCATTAAGTGATGTTTTCTAAACAGAGTTGAAGAAAACATTACTTTTTAAAGCCTACATTTGCAATGCTTTAAAGGCTTATTCTTCATATCTGGAATCTGGACCTTTAAAGACTTGAAAAGACTCCTGTAAAACAGTAACTATTTACCATGTGACATTTTCAAATCCCCTACTTCTCATTATCTGTAGTATCACATATCGGACTTAAAATTTGTAGGACCGTGTAGAGGAACGTGTATACCTTCATTTTTAGTCAGTAGATCATGTGGCAATCTGAGAAAAGCCCCCTTTTTATTAATAAGAAGCTGTGAGGCAAAGTCAGGGCAGTGAGCATCCTTCTTTTCTCCTACACAAACAACATCCCAAGGGCCTGATTTCCAGAAGTGCTCAGCATGTACAACTCCAGTTGAAATCAATAGGAATGACCGTTGCTCAGCACAGCTGCAAAGAAAGGGCTTGATCCAAAGCCCATGAAGTCAATGGAAAGACGCTCATTCACTTCAATGGGCTTTGGAGCAGAACCCAAGCCCCTAACTTGTTAATGCCCCAGCATTTCGGGACAGTCAAAGCAGGAAGATCCCAGGTACAAATTTAATCTACATTTTGGCCAATCGCTTCAAGACTACCCTAAAGCAGTGCTGAGCCGGCCAATATTTAAACAGGGTTTATCTCATCATGCACAGTCATTGTTTCCAGTCCATGTGAATGGATATGTTATTTACCACAGCAATATGTGTCACCAGGCTTTGCCATCAAGTAGTTGTCCAGTTACGGCTTTAAATTGTGACTTCAGTTGAAGGTTTGGCATCATCGAGCCTGCTACTGCAACTCTTACACACACTCACAAGTAGCCCCACCAAAACCAACGGGGACACTTGTGTAAGCAAGGGATCTTCAGTGCAGCACCAAAGGAAAGTTGTTCAAAATAGAGATTTCATCTGTTAATTATTATGTCCCAAAAGGCCATTGAGACCAAAGTTTACAATGTATCCTAGTAGACACTGACACTCTGGGGTAGCTTTTCAAGCAGAGTCAGTGGAGATTTAGGCATATTTAGTATCTCCCATCAACAGTCAGTGGAGCTGTGGTGATATTCTCCTATGTACCGGACTAAAAATTACCCCCTTCCCCTTGGTTTAAAAACAAACAAACAAATAGACCCTTAAAGAGGAGCAATGTAAGAAAAAAATAAACTGCTTTAAAGACACAGCTTCCCTTTCTCCTGGTCCCAAACTATAACACAAGCTCTATAAAAGACCAGGTCTGCCAGATCAAGCAATCCTTTGAGATGGCTTTCATTGTCCTATAATAGTGGTCCACTAGCATTCTTTTTTTGTGTTTCCTGAGTCCAAGGCTGGTCATTTTATGAAACAGTCTATAGGAATTGCAGCACAAGGTACATGGAAAATCAGAGCAACCAACTTTATCAGAGCAACCAACTTTCCAGTCAACCTTCACGGGGAAAAGAAATTAAATTTTGAGGCAGTCCTAGAGATAAGTATACCACATCTGCAAAAAGTGTGTACAGAGGGAGCAGGTTACAAAGGTTCTCTTCTGACATTGCAGGTTAAAGTGAGTTTCAAACAGCAATTGTAAGGCACGGAGTTCGGAGTGCCTTTTTACTTTAAAACTACCAACGAAAAGTTAAAAAAAAAATCAATTTCTTTAAACTCCCTCCCCCCATTCTCTCTTCATACAACCATCATTAGGGGTCACAGCACAAAGCTACAATAGAGGTTCAAACATTACTGAGCCTTTTATTGGTTTACAAGGGAAAAGAAGAGTTCCCTGTGAGTGTAGGGGAAACACAGTATAGGCTCAGTGTTACTGTCATGTGCTATTAGGATTTCAATTCCAAACACTCAGGTTTCAAGACTGCATCTTTCCTTCTCCCCAGAACTTCTTGGCAGGGCAGCGCAGACAGTATGTAAACAGTTCTAAAAGGTTGCTAAAATAATAATTTAATTGACTGCTTCTGCACAGTTTCACAGCTTCATTGTTACATCTGTCCCTCTCACACTCACGCGCACACAAGGAATCACCGATTTGCTGCTGCTCCTTCTTTCCAGGCGGTCTGCTCTTTATCTAGCTGGTATATTCCCCTCTTCCTTGGCCATTTAAAAATAAAGACACAGGGAGCAGTTCTGACATACAGCGAATACCACAGGCAATTTATATGATGTCTTTTTGTTTAACTGTAGATGGTAGAAATGTAAATGGGGCATAATCTGCCGTTAGCTATTTGTTTGGCAAGTATTTTCCCCCACCTTTATAATAAATGTTGTATACTGTGATACTTTCACAAAGGAAAAATAAGGGTCATCAGACATGCCAAAAAGTAAAGTTCTGGGCAAGCACAGTTTCCGTTTCTCACTTTTTCCTTTTCCTTAAAGATCTGCATAAGATGGCACCATTCCCAAAGGGTTATGAGGGTATTTTTTTAGTTGTTGCTGTGACCTAAACCCCCTTATAAAGCATCAGCAAGTGCTCCAAGCTTCTAGCTGAAGTTATGTGAATGAATACTTTAAAACATAATGAGCTCCAGGACACCCAGATGTTTTGGGGGAGAGGTTATCCTTAAAGTCAGGTGACACAATGGGATTTCTTCATTCATGCTCTGCGGAGAAAGTTCTTGGTTTAGTGATGTGCACTTCACTGCCCCCATTGCCATTGGTGGTTGTAGTGATGATGTACTGTGTGGTTTGCTGTTGATTGGTTGTTTGTGATTCCAAGGGGTCACAGTGCGCTGATGGCTGAGACACACCCACCTGCACCCCACTGGAGAGTGAAGAGTTCTGTTTTACATCCAGATCGGGTTGACCTTCAGATATCACATAATGGGTCTGCACAGAGAGTAGAAGCACAAGTTACAGTGATGTTTCAGAGCACCTGAATAGCCATCTTTCTCTCACACCTTCTTATTACAACTTTTCTGTCTCAACACAGGGGGATATTGTCTATATGAATGAGCGATTGTAAAATTAAACTGTATTCCATTCAAACATTTACAGAATAAAACCACAAACAGGATACTTTCAAAGTTGTAAGGCTCATTTAACTCCTATAAAAAAAGGTTTCAGAGTTGCAGCCGTGTTAGTCTGTATTCGCAAAAAGAACAGGAGTACTTGTGGCACCTGAGAGACTAACAAATTTATTTGAGCATAAGCTTTCATGGGCTACAGCCCACTTCATCGGATGCATGCAGTGGAAAATACAGTAGGAAGATATATATATACACAGAGAACATGGTATGGTAACATAGTGTTACCATACACACTATAAGGAGAGTGATCAGTTAAGGTGAGCTATTATCAGCAGGAGAGAAAAAGAACTGTTTGTAGTGGTAATGAAAATGGCCCATTTCCAGCAATTGATAAGAAGATGTGAGGAACTGTAAGGGGGGGGGGGG